CACAGCACTGATTTCTCCTTAAAAACACCCCATTTATTATGGAGTACATCTCCCTTTAGGACTCTCTTTTTACTGAGCCAGGGTGAAGTTCATCTGATGTGGTCCTGTGTTTAAGCAGGGGTTCTGCAGGATCACATTCAGCCCTGCATTCCCGGGCTGCTGTCACTTGTCTGCACTTCTGCACAAACCAAAAGCAAAGATATCTGAAAGACAGATTTTTTTTCTATCACTCCAATGTCAAAATGGTGTTTTGTTTCATTGTTCTTGAGCGGGTGAACATGGTATCAGACAAATTCTTCTGTGCAAAATTATCTCTTTATTTCAGCCGCTACATTTCTGGAGCACTCAATCTAAAAGGCTTCCAATAAAAAGGACAGAAGATATGGAATTTGGCACATATCTGTTTATGAAAACAGACCAGTGAATATTCCCAGACATAAAAATGCACACATTCTCCATTTAAAATCCTCCAAAGGACACTTGAGATAGTTTAAATGTTTCATTCTTTGATGGAGAGAGAAGACTAGAGGGAGAAGAAAGATTTTCACTCTCATGGAAGTAATTACAAACAACAAACATCAATTCCCAGATGTTTTTTATTTGCTTCGCTATTTTATTTTCAAAGAATCTGAAGTGCACTTGGCATCTCCTTTGTATTGCCTTTGATTGTGTGCAGCGCTGGCTTCTTATTTCCTCCTCGATTCGCAGCCGCATCAAAGCGCTGACATCCGCAAATGCCACGCCAGAACTGTGATAAGGACCTGGACCACGGGGCCAGAAATAGCTCATGTCCCACACCAAAACAGAGGTGCCGGAGCAGCGATGGCACGGGAATGGAACAGTCACCAGCAGAGGGAGCAGCAAAGCCGGCTCAGGAGGTCCCCAGACCGATGGCACGCAGGATTTGGGGAGTTTCATCGCTGGGTTAGAGATTTGTAAAAAAATGTCCCAGAGAAAAATGGACACTTTTTTTTTGTCCAATGAGAGCTAGCAAAAAGGTGATGCTGTTACTCTCTTCTAATGGCAAGAGAGCCAGAGAGAGGCAGGTCTCAGGTTACTCCAGTTTAAATCAGCGTTGGAAATGCTCACACTCGATGTCCCGGGCTGCAGCGGCAGCAGGGACCTTGGAGGGGGAAGGAGTACAGGGCAGCACAGGGGCAGATGTGAGGGCTGGACCAGTCTCCCTTATCCCTCCCTTCTCCGTGCCATCAGTCAAAAAGTGTGAGAGGCAGAAGAGCTAAGGGGCAATGAGAGAGGGTTTTGTCCAGTGCTTTCCAAGGGCAGTCCAAACAGCACCTCCCAGCAAAATCAAGTGGGAAAGTATTTCACCAGTGCCAGTGTTCCCCCCTGAACATCGAGCTGAGTTGTGCTCCCAGCTCACCTTACCCAAGCAGCACCATGGCAGTCCATCCTGGCAGCACCAATCCAGCCACTGCTTGATTGAGACAGGCCCTAATTTTATTTAATCTCCATGAAGTGAGCAGACCCCACCCCACCTATCTGCTGGGCAAGCACAGAGGGAGAAAGCAGCCATATCCTCAAAGCAGGCCTTTATATCAAACTGTGCCAGCTGAGACACATCAGGCATGTCAAGATATGCACTGGGAGAAAGCTAAGAGAATGAAGTGCCCTTTGGTTGGGTGCCAACCACCACACAGGGGTCAAGGGTGCAGATGTAACACACAGGGGTGTGCATTTCCCAAATCCTGGCAGGGAGTTTGGGTACTGTCCCCATTTTGCTCAGCAGCAAGAAAAGTTTGAGTGGGGAGGGCACATGAGCAGCTGTAAGTAGATGCACAACCATGGGATTTTCTCCACCTTCACACTCTCAAGGTCCAGGGAAAACTGGAAAAGCATCAGGGTTTCCTAAATTTACCCCCATTCTTGGGCTTGGGACAGGCAGAGCATCACTGCAGCCATGTGACACCCAGCTCCTGCTGCAGGGGGAGTGAGGAGGTTGTGCTGAGACAGCGAGGCTAAATTTACCCTGCCCCGGGACTCTGACGCGCAGTGGGCAGAGCAGGTTGGGGCGCGTGGGAAATGTGAGGGTTTTCGAGATTCTGGCAAAGCCCCAAAGTGACTGACTCACTCCTCCTCTCAGGTCAGTTGTTCACAGCTGTAACTCCGGTGAGACCAGTGGGTTATTTCTGATGCACATCGCTGTATGATCACAGCCCAGCCCGTTACCCTTGCTGGTGAAGGATGGCTCCTGTCTCCAGTGGGCTTTATTTAGCTTCCACTTCAAAGCTGTTCCGTAAGAGGCAAACAAATGTGAAAAGGGTACGACATTTCTTTTTGTTGGAGACTCCCCATCTTGAGTTATCTGGTGACTTTGACCTTATTAGAATCAATGAACTCATTATAATCAATGCCCTGTCCTCTCTGTCAGCTGAACACATCATTCAGATTCGTCATTTGCTGTTAGAGATGACTTGGCACTTGTGAGTTGTGTCAATGGATGCAATAGCAGATTCCTTCTAATTATATCGAACCACTGATCAACTTAGTAATCTAGTCTTTAAGTTGTAAAGGTTCCTTAGCAGTAAATCATGAGGGTTACAAATAAAGTGCTGGGGGAAGAAGAAGAAGTTAACTGTATTTATTAACTTGACAATTTGGGAGGTGACTACCTGAACAAAAAAAGCCCTGGCACATTTCTGCACTCTGTTCTCTTGTACTCTGTTTATTCCCTACTAAAAATATTGACTTAAACACCTCTGTTCTTTGTTTTCTGTATATAATGGCTGTAGGAAGGCTGGCAGAGGCTGGCAAGGGCTCGGGTGCATGGAGATTTCCAATTGCTAGCTCCAGCCCTGGCCTGTGTAGTTGCCTGTTTGCCACAGATCTATTTGCTTGTGGAGCAGCTGTGAAATAGCAGCAGCTTTTAGGTGTCCATGAGAGTATCTGTGCATTTCACTGCATGGAATAATGTGTACCTTGTGCTCTGGGCAACACTCTGCAATTAGTTTGTGGAAGTTGTTTGTCTCTGAAGACCTATAAATACACATACATAAAACTATAAGGGAATGAGCAGTCACACGCTTAAAGCAAATTCATTCTCATGCAGAAGAGTTTTATATGCTGATCACATTTCCCTGCCCCCCCCTCCCCCCGCTGATCTTTCTTTCATTTCACGTAAGGCTGACCAAAAATATTTATTTTATTCTTTCACACAGATTGGGAATTTCCCAGTGAAATCAAGGGCATTCACCATTCAGTGAAAAACAGCTTCCAACTGTTACCCTGCTCTCTCTCAGAGAAGGCAAAGAAAGAGAATAAAAATTAAACACCTTGAGCAGAGGTATCAGTTCCTCTCACTAAGCATTTTCCTCTGTGATTCACTGGCATCCTCTGAGCAGCTCCAGTCAAAAGCTTCATTTTACAAACCAACCTTGCTCCTCAACCAAGCCCTTCAACTTTTCAAGTGACTCTTTCTATGACCCACTCTTCCCATTCCTTCAGTTTAATAGAAAAGACCAAAGGTTGGGTTTCTTCGGGAGCGCTTCTCGCTCGGGTGGGGTTAACATTTGGTGTGCCAGGCTCTGCAGGAGGGTGGGTGATGCTAGAGTAGAAATGAAGCTCTCGAGTCCCTCCCTGCCCTGCTGCAGCTGATCCTAGGGACCCCAGGAGAGGAGGAGAAGGGGAACATCAGGAATAGTCCAAGACCGGACCAGACCCGCCCTGTCCGTGCCCGGTCCCCGCCCGGCCCGGGCGGAGCTGTCCCTTCAGGACCACGGCCGAGCCGGTCGGGCTCTTGGCGGCCGGTGGGAGGGGAGGCCGGCACGGTTCGGCTCGGCTCAGTCTATCCCGGCTCGGCCCGGGCAAGGACTGGGCTTGGATGAGCCTATCCTGGCTCGGCTCGGCCCGGCTTGGCTCGAGCAGGGGCTCAGCCGCTCCCGGCGGAGGGTCGGGGGCTCCTCTGCAGTGCAGGGCAGGATTGGGGGAAGAGGTGGAGAGGATGCGAAGGGGTGAGGAGGCTGAGCCGCCCCTGCGTGTGCGGGGAGGGGTCGGGGAGTGCAAAGCGGGCGCGGACACGCAGAGGTGCGTGAGTGGGTCGGGAGGTGGAGGTGAGGAGGGGGGGGGGTGGATGCTCAGGGTGGCTGCGGGTGTGCAGGGCACCTGTAGGAAGGTGCGTGCAGCCGAGTGCGTGCAGGGGGAGCGTGCACAGCGTGTGTGTGCGGGTCTACAGACGTGCGTGTGCGCTGGAGGGGTTGCGTGGAGTCTGTCGGGGGTCCGTGTGTGCGTGCGCGGGGTTCGCAGGACAGGGCTCTGTGCGTGCGTGCGGGGCTGTTGTGCGTGTGCGGGGTGTGCAGCGTGTGCGGGGTGTGCACCGTGTGCGGGGTGTGCACCGTGTGCGCGGCGCGGGGTGGGTGCCGGGCTGGCGGTGCGGTGGGTGCGTGGGTGCGAGCACGCGCCTGTGGCAGCGGGTCGGGCGCTGCCGCCGCGCACACGGACACGCGGACACACGGACACACGGACACGCTCTCACACACGCACACACACACACGGCAGAGCTGCCGGCGGGAGGAGCCCGGCCCGGCGCTGCCCGCCGTCCGCCCGGTGAGTGCCGCCGCGCCGCGGGAGAGCCGGGGAACCGGGGAGGGGCCGGGGGTTTGGGGCCAGCCCGGGGTCCGGCATCGCGACCGCGGGACGCGCAACTTTCCCGGGAGGGAGCGCGGGGAGTGGCGGCGGACCGGGGATGGGGCCACTCTCCGGGCTGCGGGGGGACCGGGGCTCCTTCCCGGTTCTCCCACCGGAGGCGCCGTCTCCCCGCGGCCGAGTGCGGGGCTCCCACCGGGCTCGGGGCTCCCCCCGCCGCTGCCCGGACCGCTCGCCCCGCGCTACGGCCGCTTCTCAAGTAAGTTACGGGTAAGCAATTGCTGGTCCGGCAGGTCCCCGCGAAGGGCGATCGCTGCCCCGAGTCCCCGCTCACCTCTTCTCTCCGCACCCTCTCTTGCAGGCAGGGCTGGTCCCCGCTCGCCATGCCCGGAGCGCTGGGAGCAGCGCGGCAGGCTCTGCCCCGTTAGCCCGGGGCACCCGGGGGTCTCAGCCATGGATTCGTCTCCCCCCATCCCCGGGGCCCCCCCTGGACTTCTGCAGGTCTGGCAGGAGGAGAATCAGACCCAAGGCGGGCTCTGGAATGGGAGCCAGGAGCTGGGGTGGGAAGAGCTGGAGAAGATGCTCTTTCTCTTCGCGAAGGAGCCCGTCACCATCAGCCTCACAGTCATGTACCTGGTGTCCTTCGTGGTGGGCTTCGTGGGCAACATCATGTCCATCAGGGTGCTGACCCGCAAGCGCCGGAGCCGGGTGTCCAGCCTGAGCGCCACCCGCAGCCTCCTCATCAACCTGGCGGTGTGTGACCTCATGGTGGTGTGCATCTGCATGCCCATCACCGTGGGCAACCTCATCTACAAAGCCTGGGTGTATGGGGACTTCCTCTGCCGGGCAGTGCCCTTCATCCAGGCCGTTTCTGTCTCTGCCAGCGTCCTCAGCCTGACCGTCATCAGCGTGAACCGCTACTACAGCGTGCACAACCCTCTCAACGCCCGCTCTTTCTTCACCCAGAAGAGGATCCTCAGCACCATCCTGGTGGTGTGGCTGTTGTCCTCGGGGATATGCATGCCCCTCATCTTCATGAACAGGCGGGATGAGATCGGGGTGGTGGAGGGCTTGCCCCTGGTGTTTTCCATCTGCAGGGAGATTTGGCCTCAGGAGAGGCTCAAGCAAGCCTACAACTTCCTGCTCTTCTGTGCCCTCTACTGCCTGCCAGTCCTGTTCAACATGGCCATCTGCTTCCTGACGGTGCGCCGGCTGTGGAGCCGTGGCAGCCAGCTGAAGGAGAGCACCGCCCTGACCCGATCCCTGCCGGCCTCCAGGCTCAAGGTCCGGAGGAAGGTGGCACAGATGGTGGTGGCCCTGGTCCTGCTGTTCGCCATCTCCTGGCTGCCCGTCTACCTGATGGACATCTGGATTGATTTCAACATCCCCAAGTCTTTGCAGGATGTGACTCCTTCTCCTTGGATCCTGCAGCTCAGGCCTTTTGCCCAGTGGCTTGGCCTCACCAATTCCAGCCTCAACCCCATATGCTATTGCTTTGTTGGGAACCTCTACAGATCAGCCAAGGAAATGAAGAGCAAATACCACCAAAGAATGGTCTCTCTCTTTAACTTCTCTCTGTCTGAAGGGGCAACTCATTCCTCGGTCCCAGAGCTGCTCTCTTACCACAGTTCAGTGGAGCCAGCGAGGAAAGGACCCACCACTACCCCTACCCTGGGCAGGAGATGTCAGGGAGGTCATGGCCATAAGAACAAGTGTGGACAGTTGAACTCCTGCCAGCATCCACCTCTGAACACTGTCTCCAGTGAGAACACTTCCTTGTAATTCTGCTCAGGAAGTGCCTCTCATACCCTCATCTGCATTTAAGGACTCTAGAGGTCTTTCTGAACCCGGTATTTTAATGATGGAAGAGAACTTGATTCTAATAACTCTCGACACAGGTTCAAAAACACTGTGACAGGGAAAGAAACATGTAAAGAGAGAAAAAGATGATGTATTTTAACTCAGATCAAATTTTAAGACAAATGATTTTTACTGGGGACAACTGGATGTGTAGCCCGTTGCCCAGTCAACAGTCACATAATTAGATAGATCAAGTTCCCAACGAGTGAGCTCTCCCTGCAGCTCCATCTCTGGATGCAGAAATGCTGTTTGGATACAGCAACAATTTGACTGCTTGCTGCTTCTCACCCTTGATGATGAAGAGCAGCGATAAGAGGCACTCTCTGCTCCAAATCCATCAGTTGTAGTTGCAAGCAGTGAAGAAAAGCTGGAAATAGCATCATAAAAAGTAATATAAATGGAGAATTTCACACACTTTACCACTTGAGATTTCATTGTCTGGTCGTATTGTTTCACTCCTCCATGCAAATAAATTCTCCTTATGTGAAGAGACAGTGGTAGAAGTACTAAAGCAACCATCACCACTCCACATTTGGAAATTCAGAAGGGATAATGTGGCCTCAGAGGTGATTTAGGAAATGCAATAGGAAAACATTTTTGGGGGCATCAGCTCTCTTTCTTACAGTTCCTGTGTATGGAGTGGAAAGAACTGGGCATCTATTAACATGATTTGCACTTGAAAAACCAGCCTTATTCAGCTGTGTCTGTACCAAACAAAGTCGATGGCATGTGAAAATAAAAATAGAAAGTGGTTTATAGCTAATAAAATCAGAAACAACTAATGCAATGCTATTTGTCTGGGAAGGAGCAAATCAAAGTGCTTGCTTTTCCTGAGGATCACAAGTAGGTTAAAACCTATTTCTTCCCTCATCTCCTTTAAAGGAGGCTTTGATAAATAAATTGTATATTTTTATTATGTTAGCATTGAAAGGCTCCAGTAAAGCTTGAGCATTCTGTTGTGCTGAGCAGTGGATCTGTATTCATAAAGAAAAGAGACCTTTCTCCCCAAGATCTAAGTGAGAACACATCAGACCAGGCAACAGGTAGGAGGAAGAAAAAAATACAACAAAGAACCAAAAAGCTGGAATGAAACCAGAGGTGAGCCCCTTCCCTGTGCCTGGCCAATGCCAGATGTGAGGGAATGAGCATCATCTCCTGCTGCCAGAACAGCCCGTGCCCTGGCTACTTGTGCCCCAGCACCCAGCACAGCTTCTCTCTCCTCTCAGCAAACCACAGACACAACACAGCAGTGTCCCTGGGAGAGTATTTTGCATTTAATGGAACTCAGGCTTTTGATGACGGGGGGGCTTTTTAAAAATTTATTTATTTCTGAACAAGGGGAGGATGTTTTGTGAAATCTAAGTTTCACATAATGTCCTGCTGCCTTCCAGGGGGCCTTTTGCCCACAAAAGACAAAAAATAGCCATTCAACCTAACCTTTGTCATGATCACTCAATAGCATTTTATTTTAACAATGATCTGCCTGGAAAACAGGATTCCTCCTTTCCAGGCAGTACCATCCACAATTTGTATTCTCTTTGTATGAACGAAAAAGACATTACAACTACCCGGATTTATGGCTTTTATGTGTGCTGGAGATGAGAACATCTGCATTTTTGCAGGTGATATAGGAGTGTACCTACTGCCTGATCTTTCAGTAGCTGTGGAGAAAAGCCTGTAGAGATTTTATTTCCTCTTTCGAGGCATATTTTTAAGGGCTGGCAAAATGTGGCAGGCTGAGGGCTGTCAAAAGCTCACTCTGAACACCCAGTGACTCCAGGTCTTGCAAACAGATGGCTTCCATCCTCAGACCAGATGTGACACAATATTGAAATTTCGCTACGTTGTCCTGACCAAGATGTTTATTCCCACCCTGAGTAAACCACAGTGAAAGGATCATGAAGATGCCAGACCAGCTCCATTCTGTGTGGTGTCCTGGCTCTGAAAATGGCCAGGATCAAATGATGCAGTCAAAGGTGCAAGAAATCCACATTTTAGTATCCCAGAGGAGAATTTTTTTCTCTGAGTTCACAAGCTGATGCCTGGGTCCTGCCTGAAAGTCTCTGTACCCTCCACAGAGGCAGAAATACCAGGGACTGTGTACTCCTGAGCCTCCTCATACACATGCCCATGCCTTCCTCCAGCCCCACAGCACTCCTGATCACTGAGATATGTTGTGGCAAAGGCCACTTTCACTGGGCAAGGTTATCTCCTCTTCACCCTTTTAAATGTGTTTTGCAGTTTCTTTCAGTGTCCCTGTTTTCCTATAATAAAGTCGAATTGCTCACTTTATCTCCTCTTTGTCTCCTTGGTCACTCCCTCTCTATCCCCCACACTCCAACCACTTCTCCACTGTCTCTACAGTGAAATCTCCCCCCACCTCTCTCGCTGTTATCACTCCCTGCCACTGAATTCCCCTCGCTCTATCGACTCATTCATGTCTTCACTCCCCTGATGAAAAATCCCTTCCTGCCCTGCTGATCTGAATGGCTCCTTTTGTGCTGCAGACACCTGTTTGCTGTGGAGAGCACTGATTTATCTTGCATGGCTTTACCCGACGGCTGCCAGGTAGTAATGAATTTCGGTCACTGTCACCCAAGGGTAAGTGAGAAGCAGTGACGTCAATGTGAAAGCCACACAGCATCCCGTGAGCCACCCAGGCTCTGGCAGTGATTTTATTAACCTGAACAGGTCTGGGTAATGCAGCAGTGCCTGGGTGACTCATGCTGGATCCCAGTGAGGTGAAACCTCAGCACTTGGGAAGGTGGCTTTTTTCCCCTCTCCTGTCTGATAAAAGATCTCTTTATATTTAGGGCTGAGAAGACATCTCAGCGTCCTCCAGGCTGCACAAGGTCCTTGTTTCAGATGGCAGGTGCTTTGATAGGCATTCAAGGGACTCCTGGTCCTTCGAGGAATCAGGCTGGTGAACACAGATGGTTTCCTCATAGGAGCTCAAGCTGAACGTCTTGCACTCAGTGTGTGGTTGAGGAAATGTGTTTCTCTCTAAATGTGCCCAGGCAGACTGAAGATGTGAATTTTAGGTGTCTCAAGGACGTTTTCCTGCAGCAATGCTGCTAATGCACCTCAGTCCCTCTCTTTCCCCCATGGGTCTTTCTTCTCTGCTTTGCCATTTGAATCAATACAGGCATTTTATCACATTACTGAAGTAGGATGTTTAAAGCAGCTTTACTTAGAATCACTGAATCATTTCAGTTGGAAAAGACCTCTAAGATCATTGAGTCCAGCCATTAATCCAGCACTGCCAAGCCCCCACTAAACCATGTCTCCAAGGGCCACGCCTACACATTTTTTAAGTCGCTCCAGGGGTGGTGACTCCACCACTGCCCTGAGCAGCCTGTGCCAGTGCCTGAATCCATTTGCTGTGGTAAGAACTTACAGAGAGTTGCTGTTTGGTAAGTCCCTCTGGGAACATTCCATGATCTGTTCTTGTACTGTCAGTGCTGTCTCAGAGATGTGACAGGTTTATTTTCTGCCTGTGAACCACTGGGGAGATGGAAAAAGAGACAATCTTTCGTATCAGGTATCATAGATGTACATACAATCATGACTGGTATGCAGGCCTCGCATGGAGATTGATGAATCACCGTTCCTTATAATAAAAATACTCAGGGGAAGCCAGTGAAATGATTATACAGCATGTATAAGGGCAAGGCAGAACCTCTTCCCACACTGTGGCAGCCACTGGGCTCACAGGCAGAGGAGGTGGTGAGGCTGAAAGCAATTAAAAGGGTCCAAGAAGAGACTGGGCTGTTCACAGCAGAAGAAACCATCAATGGCTACTAAATACAATGATGGAACATCCTAGAGGGCACTGGGTGTATAACCTGTAACTTCCACACTGGCTCCTTCCCAGGACACGTGCTACCAGCCACCACTGGGAGCAGGCTGCTGGGCTGAGCATCATTATCTGTTCAGTATCCTTGTTCTTACAGTCCTGTGCAAAAAATCCCCCACATTAGCCTGAGTCCTGTCTGAAAGAGGAGGGTGAGAGCAGAGGATGATTTCAGACCTGGCACAACTTGACCAGCAGTAAAACTTTGCAGGACACAGCCATCTGGAGGGAGGACACGTTAGTGCTGACACAGCGCAGGCAGAGAAATGCTCGCTCAGTCACTTCCAGAGCGAGAGCTGAGGAGCCCCAGGGGATGGTGCCCACTCCAGTGCAACACAACAGAATCAACAGACCCATCCCTCTTCCAGTGATCATCAACTCTCTCCATGGGTCAGCAGCTTCACTGCAATGACCCTGAGCATCCCAGAAAGAAGAATGCCCTCCAAAGGGAAACTCCTGCCTGCGGGAATTTTACATATTATTCTTAGGGATGCTGGGATTCAAACCAGGATGGAGGCTGGCTGGTGAGTTGTCTGCAACACCAGCAGCCCCAGCATGGTTTCTGTGTCTCCTCCTGCACTCCCCCCCAACCCACACACCACCACCTGAGCTCTTCTGAGTTGAAATATCTAAAAAAATAGGGAGAATGAAGGGCTTGACTGGGTTTCCAGTGCATTGTGATGCTGTTGCTGTAAAGAATCAGGGAACTATCAGTGTAAATTTTCTAGGAAAAACCAGTGCAGCTCAGTTTACCTTTGTGATTATATTAGGCATGAAAATAAATCCCTGGTGTCTGCTAGAAGAACAAGTAAAAGAGCAGCTATGAGCAGGTACAAACAAGACAGTGCTGGAGCCCTCTGGGAAAGTCAGCCTCCAGGAAAGTACAGCTTGCCTGGCACATCTGGGGATCATGTAAGACTTTCCCAAACTTTCTGGAAATGAAAGACTACTGGTCAGGTCAGCCCAGGGGCACAGGAACTGCAGTAGTTGCTTTCTCTGCCTGGTAAACATCTTTAGGCTCAGTCCTCAGACTCAGAACTGACACAACACATCTGCAAAGTCAATGCAGCCTCATGTGACTACCCACCCCAGGTTTCCCTCCACACCCTGAAGGAGGCTCCTCACTGCCCCGACTTAGGGATTTTTTTTCCTCCCTTAGCTTGAAACAACCAGGAAATACTTTGAAATATTTCAGCAATAAAGATGGATGCAGCACTTGCAGAGAACATTTTTCCAAGTGATGAATCTACTCCAGATCCTTCCTGTTTGGTGTCTCTTGCTGATTGCAAGACACCCCCAGAAGAAATCAATACCCAGAGAATACTGATGAGGAGCTGGCTCAGAAATGGCAGAGCAGGGGGCACTGATTAGCTTGTGATTATCCCCACCCCATGGGGCAGGGGAAGGCTCATGGAGCTGCAATGTGACCTTTGATTTTAAATGTGACCTTTGGTTTTCTATGCCCAACTTTTTCCTCTTACCTCATTGCACCCTAACTAAGACAGAGGGCTTATGTTGTAAACTGGTGTGTGTGCATGAATTATCCAAGGATAATTTATTTTTTTAAAATACATATGAAGTATTTTCGTGCCTGAAAGGTCCAGGAATTAACAGCTTGTCCCTGTATGCCTTACCCTTGTCTCTGGGAGGTTTTATGATACCAAGGAGCACAAGCTGCTGTGTGCACCGTAGGATAAAATCACCAACCTTAAATCACTCCTCTATCAGGCAGCATTTCCCAGCTGCAGCCCTCTGCCAGGCTCTCTGGGTCCAACCTGCAGAGAGGGAGCAATGGCCTTCCCCTGCCCCTGCCAAAGGTGGCTGTTTGGTGCCTGGCCAAACACCTCCAAGCACCCTCAAGCAGAGCCACTGGGGAGGATTTCCAGGCTGGCTCCCGTGCTCCATGAAACAGGCTTGGCCACAGCCTGGAGATCTGTTGCTCTTGGCCAATGCAGAATGGGGAGATTGAACTATTCTCGTTCCTAATCCCTGCAGTGAGGCTGAGCTTGCAGAGAGTGGCTGCAAGGACCTGCCAAGCACGAGCCAGAGCTGCTCCAGCATCCGGGTGCCTGAATGGAAATGCTGCTACCCCAGGTGCTGCACAGTCTTCTGCCTTTCTTAATTTTCCACTTGAGGTGTTTTCAGTCAAGCCCCGCTTTCCTGTCCTCAGCCATTCACCACAAGAATGAAGCTGCTGAATTAAAGAGCTCTATGAAAGAGTCTTTAGGCAGATGTATCCCATTACCTGGTGCTCACAAGTCATGAGCTGCTATTTCTCGGTGCGAGGAAGGAAAATGTGGCAAAACATTCAGGAAATAAGCTAAAAGATAAAAAGGGGAATGAAAGAAAGTCCAGACAGTGAAGTAAAACCATCTTAAGGCAATTACTGTGGGAGAAATAGATCTGCCAAGGATATTAAAGACCTCATGCACCTGCTAATCTCTTCTGATAAAGGTCTGACTGGCTAAACTAATAACACTATTAAATCTGCAGTAATCAGTACAAGAGGCAGCCTAAGGATCTCACAAAGCCACATACCTGGAGGCAGACTTTTTCCAGCATGACTGTGCACAACCAGCAGCAGGTAAGTGGTACCTGCACCTGAGTAGCAGCATAATCACTGAGGGACTGTGACTCAGTCACCTCCCTCATTGCCTGCCTCAGCTGAGAACTGAACCCAGAATTCCAAAGGCTTTGTCCAGCACTTCTGCTTTTTCAGACTCTTTCTGTGGGCTCTGGGTAGCACAGGAGCAAACAAAAAGTTCCTGCACTGCCTCAGAGTATGGATTGGTATTTGGAGTGGGCTGACTCATAAAGCCTCGGTCGAGATGGGGTGTCCTCCTTCAGAAGCCAACAACACAACACAGCCCCTGGCAGAAATGCATCAAGGATAAGTAATGGTAAAAGTATCCAAAATCCTCCTCCTCAAGTCCTCCTTCATGAGTCTTCTCTCAGTTGTGAGGAAAGCCTTGGCTGGGGCAAGGCTGCCTCTGCTCCTCTGAGCGGGAGGGGAACAGGCTGGGGTGGGACAAGCAGCCACACGGGGTCCACGTGGTAGTCCTGGAACATCAGGGAGAAGGTGCAGAGGTGCCTTCACACAGCAACGTGAGAGGGAGATCAAGAGTTTGTGCCAAAGCATTTTTTGGCATCATCACTCCAGCACAGCTCCCGAGTGCGCGGTGAGGCGGTGGGGATGCGGCTGCTCCGTGGCTGGAGAGCGTGCCCAGGATATCTGCTGCCCAAAAATGTGCAGATCCCGCTTCTCTTTCATTCCCTCTCCACCACTGCTGGTTTCAGCAGTTTCTTCTGGTTCATACCAGCAGGATATTAGAGATATTAGAGGCACACAGTGAATGAAATATTGCCAAGGTGAGGCTGCTGTCACATCAGCCGCTGTAATTCCATCGCCTTAATGGATCTGCTCCTAATTTACAAGTG